ATTACTATATTTACTTATACAATGCTATAGTTTTCTTTACATAAATGAATTCACTACAAAAAATTGATACATATAGTATAAGTTTGAAATTTCTATCGAAAGTGTTGTTTAGTTATTGGCGCTGTTTATCCAAGTTTAGTTTCAAGTTTTCTTAAAAAGGTGAAATAGCAGGATAAAACTTTTTATAGGTTAGTTTGAAGAGCATAAAAATTGCTACATTTTGACGACCAAAAGGGTACGCTATCTTTTTTTGTTATAAAGTTATTCGCAAATTCGTGAGCAAAAAATTAATAATTATAATGAATTGAGGAACATGAGGCTAACGAAAAGACATTTAATTACCGCAATAGAATGCGTTTATAAAAGAACCTACTAAGCACGCAGCGAAGGTTAAATTTCTGTATTGAGAATAATGGTATGCATTTCGAGCATTTATAAACGTCTTTACTTTTCTTTAATTTTAATTTAATTTAATAGTTTTTTCGTTACATAATTCAATATTTGTTTGTTATTGTTTTTTTTTTATTATTTTCAAGATTGTTATTGACTCACTTATTTGCGTGGGTAGCGGCCGAGCTACGAACTTGAAAATTATTTCCAACGATTTCTCTTGGTTGATTTATTATTCAAAATTTGTATCCCGAAGTTCTAGAACCTATACTTTTGTTAATATCGTACCTCGCCGACCTTAGTAGGACATCCTGTATATATTTACTTCTTGCAATCCTATATAAGCATAGTAAAAATAAATAACTATGATATTTCAAGCTATCACATTTCTCATTATAGTCTATCATGAGAAACGTATGTTTTAATTGTTTACCAAGCCTGAATAATTAATATATGTACCTATTTATTTTGTTTCAGATCCTAGAAAACTGAAAAATTTGAAAAAACTGCTTATGAAAACTATATAAGAGGTAATATGCTTATGAAAACTATATAAGAGGTAATATTCCGAGCGAGGAGGAGAACAGCAACAAAAATTAATTAAAAGAAACCTGTAGCTCTAAAAATAAAATTTGGAATGGAGACCGCACTAAATTGTTGATCTAATTTTGGAGTTAGATACCAACTATAGGAACTTGCTTCAAACTTACAGAGCTAACAAAATAAAAAAGAAAACCAAAAATTTTGTATTTGATTTTTTTTTCGTAGATCGTTTTTATTTATCGTCCTGAATATGCAGCCTAACGTTGTCGGTGAAATTTGCGATACACCCTGTTTAAAAATGTTTATTATTACTAAAAATTATTAGTTTTTTCATACAAGTTTGCTTTGACATAAAAATTAATAACGCACTCTTATCTGATTTACAGTCACTACTCTTAATACACTATTTTTTTTTTACAAAATCTGAGACATGCACACGTTTATCGGACATATCATTCAACTATATACATTTATATTTATATTCTGGTTATGTTAACTCTATTAATGAAATTTTATGAATAAATGATTTTTTTTCTACAAATTGATACATTGCATTTCTTATTTGAAAAGTAACGATTGTAAAAACCGTATTTCATAAAAAAATTGAAAAATTTTTGATATTTTTAATTATACATTTATAAATACAAAGCTGTGTGTAAAAATCAAGATTTTATCTGAATGCAAGTTAAGAGCAATTGCCAAAACAATCCAGGTATAGCTGCTCTACATGGGCATATTGTCCAGGTAAGAACGATTCGGACCAGGGATTTGAAGCTTAGTCTGGTCCAGTATAATCCTTTTTATTGCAGTCACCTTGGAGTCCGCATTAAGGCATATATATATAAATGCATGGTTTCAATCAGTCAATGTGCATTTCAGCGCCAATGCAGCCAACTTAAATTTCAAAGTCAAACTTACTTTTGTGTAAGATAGTTTGTTTTTACTTAAAGATCTGAGCTAGCATATTTTCCAAGCTTAATTTGAGGTAGCATGTTTTCCAAGTACAATTTTAGATTAGTTTTCCAAGAATGGCTTTCTGCAGGCGATTTTCTCGAGGGACAATATATTTTTTAAATGAAACGACCTTTTCAACGTTACTGCCAGTTTTATAAAAATACGACCACTGAAAAAATTTTGACCGCTAAAAGGGACAGGTAACAGGAGAAAACTATCACCCAATATATCGATTTGTCTAAAGCTTTAAGAAATAATACGCCACAAAAGTCCAAATAAATGTCCCAAATTCTAACGCAATTAGCAAAAGGGTTATGAAGTTATTAATTAAATTAGTTTTATTTTTGACAACTTTGAAGGCCTGTAACTCAAAAACCAAAAAGTTTTTATTTAACTTTTTTTCGAAGATCGTATTTATTTATCGTTGTGAATATGCAGTCAAACGTTGTCGGTAAAATTTGCGGACACCCTGTATATTAAGGTACCCACTATTTTTTTTATAATTTGTTATTTCAAAAAACGTAATGTACGTGGTGCAGCATACTGCATATTATTATATTTTTTCAATTAACAATTTTGTCATTTATAACAGAAACTTAACAAAATTAATTGAAAAATGTTGAATGAAAAAACTGTGCACCTGAACATAAATAATAATAATGTTTATTTACCTATGCTACATCCTTTCTAACAATATACAATAATCAATTTTAGAATCTAATCTTAATACTAAGAATAAGCTTAAAAAAAAGTAATAAAACATATATTCGATAAGTAATGACTTGTTTCGAGAACAATAATGCAGTACAATATTTTAATACAATATTAACATACAATATATATATCATCGTGTGTGGTACACTCAGTTAATAAACTTAAGAAAAATTTAGACATATATTGACATAATTTTTTCGTACATACACTGACATACATAACCATATACCTACATATACATATACACATATACACACATACATACATACATACATACATACACGCATATACACACATACACACATAAANTTTATATTCACGCTTGAAGAAAAAATAGTATATGTCACTCGGAGTGGAAGGCTCATTATGTGTTTTGCCCAATTTGCTCAGCCTCGGCTAACGCCTCGGCGAGCAAACTTTTGGCCTCAACACATAATGATCGCCTTCTACTCCTAGTAACATAATATACTATTTGTTCGGTTAGTCTCGGGCGTCAGTTATCATATCTTTTACGTGAGTGAGGAAAGTTTAATTCCAGGAGTCTGTTATATTTCCTTTATTGTAATAATACCCAAAAATAGTTTCTGCGTGTAGTACAAATTCCTTTTTCAAATGAACGGAATTATCAGTGTAGGTATATCGCAAAGAGATACTAAGACTTTTTACTGATCGAAATTTTATTAATCTTATCCGTGTTTAAAATGAATACAACTGGAAATATATTTACTAGACTTATTTCTATTACAGAAAAGTGAAACAATCAAAAGTAAAACAGCTTCTAATTATAATTATTATGAATAAATAATCTACAACGGTTTTAGAGACTAAATAAATGAGTTAGAGCAATTATTTATTTCTCTAATTTACAATATTTAAAAGTATACCTACTCGGTTTATTCGGTACTGAAAATAAATATAAAATTAGGACAATCAAATAACGGGAAGCAATAAACAAAATCGGTACGGGAAATAAATTCAGTATTAGACGTTAGGTTTATTTTCCAATAAACAATCTAATACTCAAAAATCTGTCAAACAATTATTCGGTTTTAATTTCAGTTGGTGCTAGAAACAAAAATGTTTAGCAATTCGGATCAATAAATAACCAAAATGTCTCTGAAAAAGAAAACAGTAATTGTGGGTTATTCAAAATCTACAAGTACATTTAGTCGGAAGTTTCTAGCAAAGCAACAGAAATTAAGCGGACTTAATCACCAGCCAAGGAGAAAGCGTAGCAATTCAGTACACAAATAGCATAAATAAGCAAACGGTAATCAGGAAAAGGAATAGTTTGGTTTATAGGTGGCAAAGTCTATTCGAGTGGGGTACCCAGCCAAATCTCAAGGGTCTATCCGTCGTTGCACGGCCAGTACGCAACATACTCCACTGGCCGTGGATACCCAGCCAAACCAGCGGTTTCGGTTAAGGGGCTTACAACGTTCGTTAAACGAGGGCGGTGGGGTACCCAACCAAAACGTCGCCGACAACGTTGCTGCCGTACGATCCTGCACTTAACGTCTTCCACTGGCGGTGGGATACCCAGCGAAACCAGCAGTTTCGGTTAATGTGACTTACACCGTTCGTCGAACGAGGGCGGTGGGATGCCCAGACAAACCGTCGCCGACAACGCTGCGGTCGTACTGTCTTGCCGAAGTTCAAATTCGGCCAGACTTATACCATAGCAGGACAAGTGAACATAGGAAAATACAATTTGCTTACATATTCCTGATGATTGCTCCCGGCTGTTAACTTCTTGGGTTCGGATGGCGGTTTCAAGTCTTCGGTGGTTTTGGAGCTCTTCGAGTTCTGGTAACAAACTCAGGATTTGTTCTTTTGCAATGCGGTTTTATCGCCTCGATCCCCTCCTGACTAGCAGGTATCGTGGTGGGATGGTGCGGCACTCGCCGGAGTAGGGCAAACGGACAATTTTAATCGATGCGCGGATAATTACTGTTAATCAACATACCGGGTTAAAGTAATTAAAAAAAAAATAAAGGCAAAAACCCTGCATAAAACTGGAAACTAAAACTGGTTCATTACAAATTTAAATGCCTCCTAAGTCTGCAATGGCCTGTTAGGACCACCACCATTTGATTAAGGTCTCTTCCGACCAAGGCTCAGCAGTCATCTCGTCTTAGATTATTAGGTCCATGGGCTATTCGCCTGCCTACATCTTTGTTCATCCTCCAGTTTTCACCTAATGTTTGATAGGACCATTTATTAAGGGCCCCGTTAATGCTATATCGTGTAATTCCGAGGATTGGTTCAGGTCCTCGGCCAGGCCCCCGGATCCAAGATGAGCCAATTGATCTGTCCTCTCGTTGCCAGGGAGGGTCAGAAGTCCCAGAAGGATCTCTAATACGACAGTTGGAATAATTCTCATCGCACCTGTATGTAATACCTAAGTAGGCATGCCTTAAACGGAGGGTCAGCCTAACCGTAGTGCAATGGAAGGGCCTCACACTGAAGGAACCGCCCTTTTTATCACGGTAACCCCTACGCCAGGTAAGTATGAATGTAATCATGAACTCAAATTTGTATTCTTTTGCTCATGCATCTTGTACAGAAATAGAAATAAATATAGATTTATGCACTTACTAGAAATATCTGCAAATGAACTGTAACAAAATAGCAATAGACCGGTAAAGCGATCTATATTATTATTAATTACACGACGATAGCAGATGGCTGTAGCACTCTGTTCGGTTATCAACACTGTGTATACAAACGGTTTTTAAATTTACTGCTAAATAGGAAGTCTGAACCAGAGTTTATGTGCTGTGCCTAAAAGCCACATGGTAATACGGCAGATTTTGCTTGCCAAAATACGACCTCCAGACCTGGTTTTAGGTAAGAAATAATACTTCTTTATATTGCAGTTAAATCAACTAGTTAAGCTGTTGTAATCACTGTCGGTAGTTTGTTTTTTCATTGTGTGATTGTAGATTTTAATTGATTAATGTTTTTAAATTATTATATTACTATTGTTACTTATGCCTCACGGTGATCGAACAACTATTTTAGGTGTGGTACTTCTAAATCTAATAAAAACCATTTTTCACTACTGAAGATTTCCATAAACCCTTACAGAACCTTGCGAAATACAACTTAGTTTTTCTCAAACTCAAAATAATTGTCAGCGTATCCAAATACACAGTGATAACCCAAAGTAGAAAGAATCGAAAAATCAAACTTGTAGATAATTTCACAGACTTCAACTGTAATAATTGAAAAAGAAACAATTAAAAGGAAATTATCTTATTACAATTTCAGAAGAATGTTTCTGTATAGGTAATTGATACATACAAATTATCTCCAAACAAGAATTTCCAAGAATATGTAGAACCCATTGCAGTCCTAAAGATAATAATAATTTGCATTTGCATAGATTTTTTATTCTATTTGTAACCATATGTTTGTATGCTTATAACTACATTTTTGAGAAAAAAATGAGAAAACTTTCAGCCTTTGATTTTAGTTTACGGTGCCCGCTTTCTAAATCGTATCAAATAGAAGGAGCTGGAAAAACATTTTTTCTTACCGCAATCTGTCACATAGGTATTGGTTTGTTTGTAATTGCTGTCACCTTTCAACTTATAACAAAACATATTGCTCCCCCTTCTAAATCGTTAAATTTAAAATGTTCACGTTTATTTATTTTGTATTAATTTATTGTCTACCACCAATTCGTCGCTGAAGTGGCTGAATAAGAACAAAGAATGGAAATGTACCGTATTTTTTTACATACACGTCGCCTGTAGGTAGTTCAGCCAAACTGGGTCAATGTTAGAGGACACTGACATTCAAAAATAAAACATAGAGAGAGTTGCTTAATTCAGGGACTGATCCATCGCTTAAAGCGCTGTTACAGCAAAAGGTTGCTAAACTAATGGAATAGTAGTGCATATCAACATAAATTGTATTGTAAGTTGTAAGATTATAATTTTGATTTAAGTTTGTATTTATTTCCACAATCAAATGGAGTGTTTACAATTTGAATATAAGAATTTAAAGTTTAATATTTATGTATTTACAAAGACAGGAAATTGAAGATATTCGGAATGGTGGGTATTAACAATATACAGAGTGTCCCACTAAGGTCGGCGAGGTACGATATTAGAGAAAGTATAGGCCCTAGAGCTTCGGGAAAAAAAATTTGTTAAATAAATCAACCAAGAGAAATCATTGGAAATAGTTTTCAAATTCGTAGCTCGACCGCTAGGGGACGCAATCTACATACCAAAACATAGAGTTGAATTTTTCTCGGAAATATTTCCTATTCAGGTATAGGTATTAAATAATACAAATATGGATAGCCGGATTCATTGCGCATAACTTTTATTATTGACATTTTGTTCTATCTCTCGACAGAAAGGATGGGAGGCTCATCAAAAACCCATAGTGTTATACCTTGTTGGAAAGGTATTTTCATGCTTTATCTCGCGGTGAATGCGTAATGTCATTTACCTCAATATGGAAACCTAAAGATGGCGTTATTTCAAAAGAATGCCGTTTTATGGATTTTTCTCAAAAATTTTAAATGCAATGCTATAGCATTGTATAAGTAAATATAGTATTATATTTGTTATGGCTGAAGAGTTGATCAAATTTTAGTTCTCGAATTCGTTACAAGGAGGAGCCATATGTATGTAAACTTGATATTTAATCGTTCACAGTCAATTTTACACTTTCGATACTGCGCCATCTTATGTTCAATAGTCAAAGGATCCATTACATAGATATTTGGAAATACAGTTTTCTTGAGATGAAATGACGGGGTAACGGAATACATTCATATCACGTGACATGGAAATTAGTAAAATACCAGCTACCGGCAGATACGACAAAAAAACTTCAGTTAATGCGGTTTGAGGTTTGAGTTTTTATCTAGGGTTTGAGAAATTATTTAAATAAGATAATATTAGTTACATCAATATGTGTGTAATTTAAGCAATATATTTATTTTAAATTCATTAATTTCAGTATAGCAATAACAGGGCCGGGTGCAAAATAAACTGGGCAGCCGCTTCATAAATACATAAAAAACAATTATGAAGGCATATGATATCAAGGAGTTATATAAAAAAACAATTGAATGTTGCGTTTTAAAGATATAAACAAAATTAAATTCCTCTACTTTTTCTAATTACAGAAATATATACATAAGAATATGTCATATGTTTGCTTAGACAGATTGCATAATATTTTGTTAATGAAAAGTAAGAAAATTTTTTTTAAATTTTAATTTTAATTTTTAGGGTTTTTCACGTAACCCGTTCATTAAATTTTGACAGCTATCTGTGTTCAATTTAGTCTTGAAATACTTTCAAGAGTGGAATACATCCGGTTTCACCGGAAGTGACGTCATCTCCATTGCTTTAAATGGAATACCCCATTTTTTTATATCATTCGTCGATTCTATGTGTTATTTTGAGTAATTTTTGTCACCACGTCCATGCCTTGAAAATTTATGGTGTTCGTTTTCAAGATATTTAGATTATTAAAAAAAATGCTAGATGAAACGTCGCGATTAATATTAACTATCTCTACCATTTGTATACTTGGACATACTTCCATTATTAGTAGTATTTATTATGTATTCACCGAAAATGTGTCACATTTGATCTAGCTATGCACAAAGTCCTCAAAATTTTGCGGCCAACACGGTAATTTTCAAAGATTGAAAACTAATTTTTTTCAAATGAAACAGTAACAATTTTATCAGTCAGGAACATGTAGAATTAAATTCTGCGTCGGCTGATATAGAGGTTTCCTATACTTATCTTCAACGGTTTTGGAGATAATCACGATTATTTATAAAGGACGAACTTTAACGTGCGTTAATTTACTACTATAATTTTTAGGTAGGGTGTGCCACCAAAAGATATTTTCATTTGAAAAAAATATATACGTCCCAAAAAACTCTTCGATTAACTTTATTTGCTAATAAATTACATCGTTTAGTATTTTTAACGGGTTTTTGATTTTTGTAGCATTGTATGGCTCGATTAGAGTAAACTGAAACACACACCTAAATGGAAAACAAAAAATTAAAATAGAAAAAAAATTATGTTTCAAATTTCACTTATGTGGATTCAGATCACTGGATTCAGAAAATTATGAAGAATTTTGTAAGTCACTGTCATTTCCGCCGAAACCGGAAGTGACTGAAAAATCATTAAAATGTCAAAAAGTGAAGTTTAATACGATGTCTCAAATTGCAATAATTTATCTTCAAAACTAAGAAGAAAAAGGGGGTTATACCATCGTTGTGTTAGTTTAAATTATACCTAGACAGCACTTGATATT